TTCGTATAGATAGCCATTTATAAAAAATAAATGGCTATCCCGTTTGCCAGGCCAGAGTTAGGATTTTTGAATTTGGATAAAGTTTGTAAATTCACCTAACAATTACTTCATTTTTCCCTTTTCCCCAAGATATGCCACAGATGCAAAAGGTAGGGGTGGGGATTGACTAAAGATTTCTTACTCCTGGAAAGAGTAAATCAGGCCACACTCACACAGCCTTGAGCTGGGACACAACACGCTCAGCACACCTGTGCAAATCCTTTTATTAAAGCAACAACCAAAATACAGGATGGCTCACATGTTTTTTTGCTTTTTTGCTGCTATATCTATTTAAATATTAGTCATTTGTTTATACCTTTAAATTATTCTTAAAAGGTGAACATTTATAGCTCACAAGTCAACAGTTTGACATTTCCGCCCAGATACATTTTTCCATCTTATTTCCTGGCTTTAACAAAGAAATTCCAGAACCAGAGGAACAGCACATCAAACGTTAAGTGCCAGCATCTCCTGTGAGCAGTGCTGGGGTGTCTGAGAGATACACTGAAGGTTTTAACTCCTCGTTAAATAAAAATAATTTATGCCAGAATATTTTTAGAACTATTTGCTTTCTGTTTTTACGTTCTCTATGAGCTTCAGTTTCGACTGTGGTATTCTAAGCATTAGTCCCCTTAAAAAATGACATTTCTAAAATATCTCAGTTAAAGATCCTTATCACCCTCATACAACATTTTCTTGTATAACAGACACTCAGTCCTTCAGAAAGCATAAGAAGCAATTGTTTTTTTTCTATTTTTTCCCCACCACTGATTTGTTTAATTCAAACCTTGTTCATCACTGGTTTAACCCTAAGAGTCATTAGGAAGATGAACTCTGTTATCTACTAAAGGATTTTTAAATGAATAGGTGAATGTAAAAATGACTAATACCGTGAAGGTAACAGGTGCTCAAAACACGTGTGAATATACAATGAGATTTGCTGGCTATTTAAAGAGTACCAACGAATTAGTTTAAAAAGCAAGAACAGAAACCAGGATTATGATCTAAAGGGACTGCCAAAAGGGTGCGTGAAGACAGGTACAGGGAATTAGTCGCTGAACTGCGCTGAGTATAGAGTATCTGAAAGATAAGGTAAATGCTCCATTTTCTTACCCAATGAAACACTGGGAGGAAACCCCTGTTCACAGAAGCACAGGGGCTGCCCTTTAAGAGTTTTAGCACTGGTACAACACTGAAATTCAACTTGCACACACAGGAGTCTGATCTGCCTTTCGAAACGGCTTGTCCGCTGGCTGGGACTGGGGTTTCTAAGGCTCAGCTGGTTTGTGTTGGCTGCACTACATTTAGAGGCTGCCTGTCCAAATCTTGCAAACATTCTTTCTGCCTAACATTTTCTTCACGAGCTAAACAGCTGAACAGCTCTGAGATCACCAATAAAGAACAATCCAACCATTAGATGAGAAATGTTACCAGCCCAGTGAATAAGTTACACAGCCATCCTTCAAGCCAAGTCTTTCAATCAAGTTGCTTTCTTATCTCACATTTGCCCTCCAAAGGAAGTCTGAACAACACAGGATGTCTACAATTAAAAATGAAACACACAATGAAAAAGATAAAGAAGGGAAGGATTCCAGACTCCACTGTGTGGGAGGCCAGGCCTTTTGGCTTTGAAAAAAGAAATGCTCACCAGCAATCATTCTGGGTGTAATAACACAGCACAATAATGCTCAGGATGGGTAAGGACATTCAGTTATTTTCAGAGCGATTTCTATACATTATAGATGTCACATTTGGTTCCTAGAGATTTAGTCAAGTATTACTATTTCTTTTTGTCAAGCATGATATACAAAAAGATGAGAATAGATGTGCCCTAAAAATATGAAAATATAATATATAAAACAAAACCATTATAAATTACATAGATTTGCAGTATAAAATTTTTTCCCATTTAGAATAAATACCATCCAAGTTTACAGATCTAAGTGAATTAAATATGCACACGTATCTGAATCATTTTCAGAACTTCAAGAAAAAAAATCGCTAGAGATATGACCAGATGACTCAGAAACCAGAAACTGCTTACTTTTGAGAACAATGACCTAAGACCCAAAGGACATGGCTTGGGATTTAGTGCTAAGCTGTTAAAACTGCCCAAATGAGTCTGACGTATGCATGTGTGCATACACACACACACACACACACACACACACACACACACACACACGCTCACAAGCAGCCATACTTTTATGGATTTCTATGAAGCTGAACAGTTTATCTTTGAAAAATCAGCCAAAAGTCACGAGATCATCTCTGTTCCATATTCTAGCAGGAGAGATTTCCTATCCTGTAAAGAAGCTACAGGATGAACAGGTATAGTGTAGCCTTTCTGGACAGAGAAATCGTCGTCGTAAGCCAGCCTTCTCTTTGGTTGGCTGTTATTCTATCAAGAGCTCTCTGATGCCTTAAAGAGGGGAAAGGTTTTGAAAAATCTGTATAATCTAGCCAGTCTAAAGAAGCTAAAACCAACCTGAAAACATTCTTTGGTCACACATTTCTGCTTCTGCTTCATAAAAAATCTGCCCGTTTTTAACTTTCTATCCCTAATCAGTGCCTAGATGGGAGAGACAGATGCCTTTTCCTGTAATTTCCACGTGGAAATGTGCACATGGGTTTCGGTGGAGGGAGAACTGGACAGAATGGGAAAAAGTTCACGCAGTGTCACAAAATGAGTGTGGGTCCCTGCTGTTGCTCTGGGCGTACAGATCCATGGTGAGAATCTGCTGACCTCCGTGACAAGTGGAAAATTCTACGAGGTGGAGATAAAACTCTTTTGCAACCCCAATACAGAAAACCCTCGTCCAGAGAGTGCAAGGGGGAGGTCAAGGTTTCTCTGGATTGTTCACGACTCGCTTTTCATGTGACCACCCAAGACACTCCTACCTGATGGCAATGGGTCATCTGAAGCCAAGAGGACTCTGTTCCAACTCTGAGTCTTGTCAGACCACCTGTCACACCAGTTATCTATACATAGAGAAATCCCTGAAGCCAAACCCTCTGCCTTCAGCTACAGATTCAGATGCTTCTGCTGTGAAGGTTGGCGGCAAGAGTATCTAACCTCACGTGCCCATGTTTGCTCCCAAGACTGCTTGTCTCCTGCAAGGCGGCGGGGGCGGGGGGGCATCATAAACTTTCCATAAAACTCTAAAATGTCTGAGCCGGATGGGATCTGGGGACCCATCAAGTACCACCTCCGTGTTTGTCAGATGAGAAAGATTAAACCCAGGGGGGTGTCGAAGGTCACTTATCCAGATAGCGAGAGAGTGAGAACTAAACATCAGGTCTGCTCTCACGATCCGTGTGGCCCAGGGAACCTCCATGGAAACCATGATGTGGCTGTGACCCTCAAGACGACTTTAAGGTTACGGCTCCCCTGCTCATACCTCTCATTCTTCCATGATGACATCTAAACTGCAGACGCTGCCCTAATGATTTTGGGTTTTGAGTTTTGAAACCTATCCTCTTGATTTGCATCAATACTAACTTTCAGCATAAAGAAGATTAGAGGAAACAGAGAGGAAAGTGAAAAATCTTTCGAGTAATTGTGGAGGAGGGCCAGGTGATTCTGCGGGAGAGGGGACCATCTAGATGGAGCTTGAGCCCGTCTGGTCTGTCCCTCTGCCAGGGAAGGAACGGAGGCCCCACCTGCCCAAAGCCTGCGGTGCTTAGTGGCACCGTCAGATGACATGCTAGCCTCTGGGTGACTAGTTTTGTCGTTTCTATAACACCATTCTGCCGCACATACAACTGCTTTCTTGTGGGACAAAATTAATTCAAGAATTCTGGCGTGAAATTTGATGCCATCACCCGAACCTTTCACTCTCCCCTTCAAGGACAGACAAGCTAGCCCTGCAGTTCAGGGAAGTGGGCCTGGCTAGGAGATCCCACGGACCCTCACACTTGCAGCCCCAAACCAAGTGTTTGGGTCACCGGACGGCCCCTGGCGGCCCACATTCTACACCTACACGGATTCCTCAGATGCCTCCGTCTCTGGAAGCAACGTGCGTTCCAGATCAAGCAGCAGCCGTGTTTGGAGGATGACGTTACTTAAACGTAAAAACAGCATTTTTCATGGACAGTTTGGGTAAATTCAAGTTTACAGTCTCCCTGCCACCTCAGCTGAGCTCACCTAAAGGCTCTCAGAATCGGACAGGCAACACATTTTTATTTGGCTATTAAAGTGCTATCCTGGGCAAGGTTTTTTTTTTTTTTTTTTTCCTCAGTTACACAACAGCAGCTTCATTGGAAACAAACAAACAAAAAAGCGATGGATGGAGACAGGCCCGGGAAATGACAAAAATCACGAGGCTGGTAACTGCTTTGGAACATTACAGATGACTTGTGGGTATCAGCCCTGACACCAAAGCCTCTGAGGTAAAAGTTTGGCGGGGGGTTTGAGGGGGTGGGGGGAGAGAAATAAGGACAAAGTGGCAAAGGGGACGAAACCAGAAGGAACGATTAGCATTCGTATCACAACGACTCGGTTATAGGGGAACAGTGAAGGGCGGTTAAAACTGAGAAGAAAGTGCAACAGACCCACGGACGTGCAGTTGCTCTTGTAGCAGACCTATAATTTTTTTTAAAGGAAAAGCGCTGCAGTGTGCATTGGACAGGGCTCTTGACCTCAGAGTCTCTCACACCAAAAGAGCAACAGTGATTAAGGTATCTGGCAGAGAAGAGCCTCTGAGATTCATGCCGCGCGCACAGACACCTGCCCAAGGTCGCCGGCTCTGCACCCTGCCGCTGCTTGCATCCTCTGTCGCGGGGCGCGGTCCGGGCACACAGCATGCACGCAGGCGCTCCCTTCTGAAGGGGCCTGGCTCCTACCTACGGGACAGGCGTCTCCGGTAAGGCTTAGCGGCGAGGGCGGACTGCGTCTGGCCCTGGGGGTGGGGGGGCGGCCCTGATTCTCGGGGTGTGCATAGCTTCTTGGGGGGGCGTTGTTAGACATGGCTTTCATAGACGACGCGGGCGTTGCTGTCGCACGCCCCGGCTGGCTCTGTGGCTTCCAGGAGACCTGGGGGCAGGACACGGTCCGGTACCTCGACAGGCGTGGGCTCCTCGGAGGTCAGCGCCGCGGACGTGACCTCGGTGGAAGGCGCCACGGACTCGGGGGAATGCTCGGCCGAGGGTTCGGTGTCCTCCTCGTCTCTGGCCTCGAGGGGCCCCCCGTCCCGGTCATCCGTGGGCTCCCTCCGGGCCTGGGGGTGCACGGACACCTCGATGGCAATCTGCTGGGGCTGCTCGTGCAGCGACGAGGCGTCTGAGTCAGCGGTGGGGGACTCGCTCCGCTGCAGGGCGTCGGCGATGGTGTAGACCTCGTCCCCGGTGGGGGCCTCCTGGCCCTCAGGCGCGTGGCGCACGAAGTTCTGGCCCTGCTCCTCCAGCCCTACCACCTCCATGAGCTCCTCCACGATGGTCCTGCAGTTCATGATGAGCGGGGGCAGCGGCACGCTGCGGGCCAGCTCCTCGATGTAGCGGGCGAACTCCATGGTCTTGAACTGTGTGACCTTGGCCAGCTCCAACGTCTTGGCCGACGTGATGATGGGGATGCGCTTGGCGATCTCGAAGGCCTTCTGCAGCTTCTCGGCGCCCTCTGTACGGAAGAACTCGTTGATGGCCTTCTCGGTCTTCTTCAGGTGGCTGCTCATCATGCAGAGGCGGGTGATGTTGAGGGCCAGCACCACGGCGAAGGCCACCAGGCACACCACCATGTAGTACACGCCCATGTCCCCCGACGTGAAGACCACCCTCAGCGTCACCGTGTTGTTCACGGTGCCGTGGACGTTGGCCGCCACACATGTGTATCGACCTCGGTCCGTGAAGGACACCTTGGTGATGTTCAGGAGGCCGTCGTGCATCTGCCACTTTCCTGCAGGAGGAAGAGGACAGAGTCAGACGGGCCCTCCACTCCCTGCAGCCACTGCCCCGCACGTCGCTGAGCACATCTCCCACCACCACGTCTGCCACTGCCGATGGCACCCACGGTGAACGCCGACCTCGCCAGATGGTGACGGTGTTAGCTCGCCTAATCCTCACAACTCAGGGAGGAGCTACCAGCACCGGCCCATTTTACAGGATGGGGAAACTGAGGCACTGGTCCACTAAGCCACCTCTCCAGGGCGCCAGTTTGGAAGCAGTTGAGCTAGACGTGAACTCGAGCCCGAGAGGCTGTACTCTTAATACCAAATCATACCGTGTGATTCCACATCCTAGAGAAAAATTAGAAAAATAAACAGTATGGAAAATACTTGCTCTTACTAGAGAATTCCTTAATGTAGCATCTGATTTTCTAGCCTGCCTGTGAGCGTGGCTCTACAGTATATATATGCTCATTGGAGAGTTTTAATACTTTTCAGAACATAAAGTACTTTAGGATCAACATAAAAACTGGAGTAAATCAATTAAATTGTAATTGTTCACCGGGGTTTCTCATATTTGAGACTGACGTAGTCCTGGTATGACCTCGGTTGATGGAAACATAAATAATTGAGAAGCTACAATGAACTACGTCACTTACAGTTACAAGCTAATTCTGTGGAGATTCAGAGGCTGGGTGTGAATAAGCAACAATTTGGTTTCGCTTTGCAAATAAATCACAGACCCATCAGGTTGAAACCAGGCCTCACACAATGGAGAATCACACTGAAAATCCTTGTAATAGATAAGAATTCTACCTCCCTCTGGCCTGGAAAGGATTGTTGCCCTGGGAATGAGGTTCTTAATCTGAACTAAGGAGGGATTACTCCTTAGTCTGCCTGTGTACCCGCAGGTCAGAGGACCCCGGGAAACGTGATCCTAGCTTTGCCTTCCAGGTCTTGGGTCTGAGCCTTTCTGAAAACCCTCCACCTCCCTAGACTGTCCTGTAGAGAGAGAAGGGTCCCGGCCCGGCCTCGGGGGAGTTCTGAGTAGCAGGAAGATCTTTCTGCGTAAAAGCACTTGCGTCCCCAAGCAAGCCAGAGGCCTCTCCTGAGAGATGCGGCGACTTAGCGCGTGGTTTCCTTTTAAGGGTGTATTATCGCTTTATATTTATTTATTTATTTATTTATTTATTTGCGGTACGCGGGCCTCTCACTGTTGTGGCCTCTCCCGTAGCGGAGCACAGGCTCGGGACACGCAGGCTCAGCGGCCATGGCTCACAGGCCCAGCTGCTCCGCGGCACGTGGGATCTTCCCGGACCGGGGCACGAACCCGTGTCCCCTGCATCGGCTGGCGGACTCTCAACCACTGCGCCACCAGGGAAGCCCATATCGCTTTGTATTTTTTAAAAAAAGAAGAAATTTGTGAGCACCAAAGTGACCAGGGTCTCCAGGGACTGTGGGGTGAGACAGCAGAGGCCCCCGTTATTCCAGGTCCTCTGCTCCAAGGACCATCCTTCGGGAGGCTGGCCAGAGCCATGGGGGCCGTTGGGGACCTGCAGCCCCTCCTCCTGCTGGCAGGAAGCCTCTTGTAGATGCTGTCACATTGCTCTGCTTCCTGAAGGAACACCTGTGAAGAGTGGTTCCTGGTGTCCCCAAGTACCCTGCTTCTAATAATTCAGCCAGTGTACTTTCCCGAGAGTAGGAAACACTGGTTTGGGAAATCTAGCGAATTTCTGTCTCTCGTGAACGTGTATGAACAGACCAACCTAGCGCCCAGCCTGTGAAACCTTCTCTCGTCCAGATGGGCCGAGGCGAGCCTCCCACCCTGTCCGCTCGTTCCCGAACATGAAACTTGATACTTCCGGGGCAGATTTATCCAAATAGAGAATAATGTCAGCAAGGGAAACGATCAATTTGTTTTCTTAAAATGTGCATGTTTCATCCAACCACACTACAGCAGGCACAGAAAAAACTCACAACTCCGGTTGCCTGAAAGCTTATTGTAGATGTGGAAGGTACTGGGTGCCAGAGAATTACAGACGCTACCTATAGGAGTTTCTCATACTGATTGTTGGAAAACAACAGGCAATAGGGAGGGAGAAAGTGAGAAGGTGAGGTTATTTGTATGAGGAACAGTTAGGATCAATTTGTCCACCTCCTAACCTCCCACCCTCGCTCCCTCTGTGGAGGAATTATTATCTACAAATTCAAGGACAGGGTAGGGGGAACCAGGGTGTGGAGGAAGAGCAGAAAGGAGTGCTGAACTCAGACGCGCAGGCTCAGCGGCAATGGCCCACGGGCCCAGCCGCTCCGCGGCATGTGGGATCTTCCCAGACCAGGGCACAAACCCGCGTCCCCTGCATCGGCAGGCGGACTCTCAACCACTGCACCACCAGGGAAGCCCTAGGCATGTTTTTAATCATCTATTGATGTATATTTATCTATCCTGGACCCAAGTGACTCAAAGCAGATACCGACTCAGACACTCCAGAAGTTCCCTGTCGCACGGTCAAAACAGGCACAGTCTGGAATCAAACACAATTAGGTGACACTTGTAGTTCATTCTGGGGAAACCAGTGAGATGTAGAGTGCATAAATTATTAGTTTGGCACGTATTCTGCTTCTTAGCCCAGGGCAGTGGGTCCTTGGACTAACATCTATCATATACCTTATCCAATAATTAACCTCGTTTGTTCCGGAAGCCCAAAGCCCAGCCATGAATCTGCGAAGTGACTATATTTGCCTAACGATAAACCACAACAATGAATCACATATGATTATCCTGAAACAGGCAGGTATTACCCCTAATAGGAGCTGTGACACTCTAGTTAAATAACTGAGACCCATCTCCCTGCCAGCAAGTCCCTGTTTCGAGTCCACAACAAGGACACCAAGACATCCCTCTCTTCAGGGTTCAGTCCTTCACTGTATTTCTCTTGAAACAAAACACATATCACATTAACTTTAGGGATTAAGGTAATATTAATGCTGCTTAGGCTTCTCAGGTACAACGAGGTAAACTGAATGTGTGACCTGGACTAAACATTCTTTTGCCAGATCTCAAAGCGAGTCTTGGAAAGCCAACACACACACACACACACACACACACACACACACTCACTCATTCTGATGACAGAAGATTCTGACCTCAAAGGTGATGTATGTCTGTATCATGTCCTGTTTAAAGGCTGATACATTGCTTCCTTCCTAGGAACTAAGACTCTAAATACTTCCTCTCAGCCTCAGCATGACCTTCGATTAGTGAGAAATAAAGATTTCTGCATGTTCTCCCGCTGTATGCAGCCCCGAACACTATGAACCCCACCCTGGGGGTCCTCCCACATCAGTAGGGGCCCAGGCTCATGGAGAATCACAGGCAGCCGCCCCACTAGGATTGTCTCGAGAACATTCCAGGGCCACATGTTGCCTTTCTCCTTAGTCTGTAAATACCTGGTCCTGAGACCCAGCCTGGACGGTCTGACTTCAGCCGTCAGGAGGTCGAGGGAATAAAAAGGGCCACAGTGACTGTCACAGGGACCTGAAGACCCAGGCACCTGGGGTGGGGAAGCTTGCTGCTGCACCAGGGATGATTTTAAACTGGAGTTGAGCAGGGATGTCACAACCATGTGCTGAATTCTCACTAAGCTGCATCACTTCAGCACAAGTAAACACATAAAATGTGAGCCGCTGACGCTGAGTCACTTCAACAGGCAATGATTTTGGAGGAAATGCACAACTAAGAGATCCTGCATGTCCCAGCGAAGATCCCACATGCCACAACTAAGACCCGGTGCAACCAAATAAGTTAACAAGATTTTATTTTATTTTTTAAAAGGCAGATGTTGAGCCATCACTTTCTGATTCTAATACCAAAGATTCTGTGTCAAACGTTTCCCTGACAGACTGGTTCAATATGGCGGAGTAGAAGGACGTGCTCTAACTCCCTCTTGCGAGAGCACTGGAATCACAACTAACTGCTGAACTATCATTGACAGGAAGACACTGGAACTCACCAAAAACCCCACGTCCAAAGACAAAGGAGAAGCCACTATGAGACGGGTGGAGGGGCACAATCCCAGTAAAATCAAATCCCATAACCGCTGGGTGGGTGACTCACAGACTGGAGAACACTTATACCACAGAAGTCCACCCACTGGAGTGAAGGTTCTGAGCCCCATGTCAGGCTTCCCAACCTGGGGGTCCAGCAACTGGAGGAGGAATTCCTAGAGAATCAGACTTTGAAGGCTAGCGGGATTTGATTGCAGGACTTCGACAGGACTGGAGGAAACAGAGACTCCACTCTTGGAGGGCACACACAAAGTAGTACGTGCATTGGGACCCAGGGGAAGGAGCAGTGACCCCAGGGGAGACTGAACCAGACCTACCTGCTAGTGTTGGAGGGTCTCCTGCAGAGGCAAGGGGTGGCTGTGGCTCACCCTGGGGACAAGGACACTGGCAGCAGAAGTTCTGGGAAGTACTCCTTGGCGTGAGCCCTCCTGGAGTCTGCCATTAGCCCCACCAAAGAGCCTGGGAAGTCTCCAGTGTTGGGTTGGCCAAACAACCAACAGGGAGGGAACCCAGCCCCACGCAACAGCAGACAAGCAGATTAAAGTTTTACTGAGCTGTGCCCACCAGAGCAACACCCAGCTCTACCCGCCACCAGTCCCTCCCGTCAGGAAACTTGCACAAGCCTCTTAGATAGCCTCACCCACCAGAGGGCAGACAGCAGAACCAAGAACTACAACCCTGCAGCCTGTGGAACGAAAACCACATTCACAGAAAGACAGACAAAATGAAAAGGCAGAGGGCTATGTACCAGATGAAGGAACGAGATAAAACCCTAGAAAAACAACTAAATGAAGTGGAGATAGGCAACCTTCCAGAAAAAGAATTCAGAATAATGATAGTGAAGATGATCCAGGACCTCGGAAAAAGAACGGAGGCAAAGATTGAGAAGGTGCAAGAAATGTTTAACAAAGACCTAGAAGAATTAAAGAACAAACAGAGATGA